CCTAATTAGCTTGCTCAGACCCTCTAACAAACTCCGGAAAATTGGAGGTCGACGATCCGCCCGCATTCGTCCTAACACCTTCTTCCGCTTGGCTATCAAGGAATTCCTTGAGAATATTATCAGGAGAGGCCGAACGATCGGATACGTCATCTTCGACAACCGAGTGTTTATCCTTCCAAGATCTCGACATGCCCTTCCTCATCGAAGGTATGTACGGGATAAATTCTCCTATGAACGAATCCTCTTCATAAATCGGAGAATCCGTGAAAAGCCTAGATCGGAAGAGAGCAACCGCATGGCGGACACGCTGCGGAGAGAAACTACCCCAGCCAACTTCCCCGCGTTTGAGTGAGGCAGTGATACTCGGAAGATCCACAGGATGCGGGGGTAAAGGGTTGGTCTCTACGAAAAATAAAAGCGAATAAGTAAAAAAAAGGGTAGGATAATTCGCATGCACTCGAATCACATACCTTTCCGACCCCACGTGGTCACAAAGAGTGGGATGCAGTCCTCCTCGACCGACACACTGGCAATACGAACGTAGAAGAAATTTTTCTTCCAAGAAGAGAAGTTCGACGTGCAACCAGTAACAATTTCTGCACGGGAGCATAAAGTGATCCTTTGCGTCTTCTATGTGGGTTTCAGTAAACCCTCGAGATGGTCACGCTAAGAGTGATTCCCTGCTCGTAACTCAGCGTCAAGAGACCAATGAGTTGTTTTAAGCCTGGTGGAGTCAATTGGCTGATCGATAATCCTAGCCTATGAAGATATCGAACAATGATCTCCAGGATTGGAAACCATAAATGGCATTGCTTCAAAAATACATTGTAACACGTAAAAAAGCCATCGAGCGCAGCCTTATCACTCTCCCCGGCAAGCGGAAGGCGAAACTCGACCGCTTCTGGGACTCGGCAAAACTCCCGCATGGATTCGATACTATTAGGAGGAGCTGAACTTAGGCATTCGGAAGCTCGATTGGCATTCGACAAAGCTGGAACCCAGGTTCCGGGTCTAGCGGACCCCGACTCGTCCCCTAGCGCCCAATACGCCATGCGGTCTCTTGGGTCGATCGATGGAAATGAGTGCTCCTCTTTCGGAGCCATAACTCGAGGTTGCGAGCTCGTTCCCTCGGAACTGCGACAATCGGAGCTGGTTGAGGAACAAGTTCTCCTTTTTGAAAACATGCTTGATAACTTTGAGAGAAACAAAACCAAAGGAAGTAGAGAGAAAATTTCTTGGAGAAGTTATGGAGAATGAAGTAAAGAATTCAAAAATTTACTCCATATACTTATAGGAAAAAGTTTACTATTCACCTTTGGACTTTTGGCCATTAAAGTTCCGCCTAATTCTACCAAACTTGCCGAGAAATTCCTATCCGCTCGCAAGAACTCCACGATTCTTACAAGCTGGGGGGCTAACTGTTGGGTAAAAATCGGTACGACGGAATCAATAGCCAAAACTTCCCATAAAAAGATAAAAAATAAGTTTTATAAAAATCGAGAAAGTCATTTTATAAAACTCGAGAAATCGTTTTATAAAACTCAAGAAATAATTTTATAAAACTCTAGAAATATTTTATAAAACTCAAGAAATCATTTTATAAAACTTGAGAAATCATTTTATAAATCCAAATGAGATTTCCGAACAAAGGAAATCCGCGGAGAACTCGGAAGATCGTTATCTCGGGAGAACGAAACAAATGTCGGTTACACAATCTTCCGAGTTTAGCACAAAACCGCGAAAAACCGAACGACTAGCTCGCCGAACGGCAAGCTAGAAGCTTCCCGGGCAGCTCGCCCAACGTCGAGCTGAACCGGTCCGGCCCAGTTTGCCGTACATCGAGCCAACCATCCCGAGCCACGATCTCCCACGTCCTTGGTTCAAGGCTTATGTTCTTCGACACGATCATGTTCCGAACCACGATCGAAATGTCTCTCGTTTCGTCTCGATCCGTCCTATTGTTCGAGTTTTACGATAAAACCGTAAAACTTTGTTTTCTCGAAAAGAACTCGAGGAAATCGTATAAAACGGCAACAGTTAAACGAAACACCGAACATTGCCAAAACTATACGATTTATTCGAGATTTTTCGTAAAAATTGTAAAAACGCATTTTTAATAAAAAACGTCGAGTAAATCGTAAAAAACGGCGACGATTAACCGAGAAAAGAACGTATCTAAACTTTACGATTAATTCGAGGAACTTATTAAAAACGGCATCGGATCAGGAAACGATCTCGTATGAAGTCGCAAAATGGATTAATCACAAAACGGCTCGGAAGGTCCTAAAACATGATAAAAGCCCATCTTGTGATCTTAACGAAATCTAACCCAAAGATACGATAAATTTTTGACGAATTACCCGCATAAGGTTTCCGCGAGAAAAAAGGAAAGATCAAGATAAATGGAAGATTTACGATAAACTCGAATCTAGGCGAAATGGAAGGACCAAACCGCCAATGAAGGGAGTATATAAGCAAGAGCCATAGGGCAGAAGCAGAGAGACGTTTTTTCAGAGCTTTCACCACCAAATTTAGCATTTAGGAACTTTTTCGTTTTTGTTATCGAGCTGCGTCTCAAGTAAGGTTTTCGGTCTTAGACTTCTAGAGTTAGGGATTTCGCCGACGGCTCACGCAGCTAAGGCCACTCTCGTTGTAACCATTCTTACGCAGACTCGGAATAAGATCCTTCTTTCTCTTCATCTCGTTTATTCTTACTTTAATTTTAAGTTCATCATTTTCTTAATTATCGTTTTGCAGTTCCGCAGATAGCCGGGTCCTCTGGAAACTTAGGGTTTACTCAAAGTTTCCTTATTTACGACTCATTGCTAGTAGGTGAATTTCGGTTCCATATTGACTACTGTCAAAACCTTATTAGCTGTTGCAGCAGTGAAACAATGGAGTCTCACACAGTTGGACATCTCAAATGCCTTTCTCAATGGTTATCTTGATGAGGAGATATATATGACATTACCTCCGGGTTATACTCCAAAAGAAGGTACTGTTTTACCTCCTAATCCAGTCTGTAGACTTAACAAGTTTTTATATGGTCTACGACAAGCATCAAGCAATGGTACTTCAAATTCAGCTCTACTTTGATGGCTCTGGGTTTTCAGAAATCACATTCTGACCATACGCTTTTCATTAGCAACAAGAATGGGAAATATGTTTCTGTTCTGGTTTATGTCGATGATATTGTTATTGCTAGAAATGATGATGCTAGTCTTATACAACTCAAAGACGATGAAAAGAAGTCTTTCAAGTTAAGAGACCTTGGTCCTATCCGTTATTTCTTAGGCTTGGAAATTGCACGATCGAAAGAAGGTATCTCCATTTTTCAGCACAAATATATATTGGAGTTACTTGAGGAAACTGATCTTATGGCTTGTAAGTCGTCATGTATTCTGATGGATCCTAGAATTAAGCTAGTCCAGGATAGTACTGAGCCTGTCTTATCTGATCCTACGGTATTCAGAAGACTTGTAGGCAAGATGATGTATCTGGCAATAACACGACCAGATATCACTATTTCTGTTAATCTATTATGTCAGTTTGCCTCTGCTCCTAAGCATCCTCATCTTCAAACAGCATATAAAGTGCTCCATTACTTAAAAGGCACACTTAGGAAGGGGATTTTCTATTCGGTGAAATCTGATATTCTTCTCAAATGTTTCAGCGATGCTGACTGGTCTTTTTGTCTGATACACGGAGGTCTACTTCCGGATTCTATATGTTCCTTGGTCCATCACTTATTTCTTGGAAGTCCAAGAAACATGACACTGTATCTCATTATTCTGCTGAGTCGGAGTATCGTGCCATGGAGCTAGTTTGCAGTACGAGAGGTTTCTTGGTTAGTAAAACTTCTTAAAGAGTTTCTTGCTCCCCAATCACAACCAGTGGCTTTCTTCTGTGATTCTACAGCAGCAATACACGTTACCAATAATGCTGTTTTCCATGAGTGTACTAAGCATTTGGAGAAAGATTGTCACATTGTGCGAGAGAGGATTTTGGCCGTTTTGATAAAAAAACTTTGCATGTTCGGACTTATACTCAGCTTGCTGATCTCTTCACTAAGCCATTATACCCTGCTCTGTTCCGTACTCATTTGCGCAAGATGACATTGTCAAGCATATACATGCCATCTTGAGGAGGGGTATTAGTTAACCAATTATTGATTTGTATAGTCCGGTTTATTGTTAACCGAGTCTATTAGATAGTTGGTTAAGTTGGTTTTGTTAAACCACTTTCTTGGTTGTTTTCTTCTTCGTTTATAAGAAGAAAGTTGTAACAGAATACAGTTACAATCAATGAAACAAACTTTTCTACTAATTGAATGAATCAGGAGTAGACTATAGAAGAGAGAAACCCTTGTGTTCACACTCTTTCCCTCTTTCTGGATTGGTGTAAATTCGAGATAATATCAGTAAATTATGTCTGACTAAAGAGGAAGACTCTGATAATTTTAGCAGTATATTACCATAAATGTGATAATACCACATTTATTTTCAGTGTGTCAAAAAATGATTCGAGAAGCTTTGAAAAAAAAAAAAAGAAACAACTGTAAATAACAGATAAACGCATCTGAGACCAACAAAAAGGAGAATCTCTTTCCAATCTGTTGTTGTCGTCGTCGCTGGGTCACAAATCTCCTCTTTGTTTTTGTTGTTCTTATTTTCCCAAATTCAACAAAATCTTTTTGATTCTCGAGAAGGTCAAGCGAGAAACCTAGACGAGGAATCTCAGGAAGGAAGGGACTGGTGTAATATAGCTCGTTGGCACAAATTGCTCGTTGCTCCTCCTCCGCTTCTCGCTCTCAACATCGGTTTGATGCGTTGATTTCAATTAGATTTAATTTCTCAGAAGGAAAAAAGATTTGGGGAATTGTATCGTGTGTGCCAAGGAACTAGGTGCGTTTCTCTCTTGATCTTTTGATGTGTAATGGGACACTGCGTTGATAAAAGAGATGATTTTTTAATACATCTCTTGCTTGATACATGATAATTTAGGTCAATTTCTGTATTATGTGGGATGAAAGCAAAATCAATTCCATAAGAGAAATTATCAAATCAACACTTGTAAACGGATGAAACAACAAGCCCTTGGTTTTTTTCATTATATGGGGCGATCATTGGAATCATCTGCTGCTCTCTTTTCACTTAGCATCTCTTGTAAATCAAAGTATCCACTAAACTTGGAATGGCTTGTTCCCAGAGAAGTCTTCCCACTGATAGGGAGAATGATCAGGTTTGTATGTTTCTTTCATCTCTTTTGAACTTTTTTCAGGGCAAAGTTTTATATTTCAGAGTCATAAGTTCTGAGTTAAAAAAATAAAAATAAATAAAAACTTGACGCAGGCAATAGCAATTCTGAAGAAAGGAGCGTATCTTTTGAAGTACGGCAGGCGTGGGAAGCCTAAATTCTACCCTTTTCGGCTTTCGAGTGTATGCATTCATGACCTTACTATCTCCAAAAAAAATCATTGTGACGTGATAGTTTGTTTTGTCTCAAATACTTTGCAGGATGAAATATTTTTGTTATGGTACTGTGGGAAAACAGAGAAACGTCTTAAACTGAGTTCCGTGACAAGGATCATACCTGGACAGCGAACTGTAAGTTTTTTTAAATGCATTTCTCTGGTAACATTTCCTTTTGTAAGAAAACAAATGTTACTGTAACAACTTCTCCAGTCAGTTTTCCGACGATACCCTCAGCCCACCAAGGAATATCAATCTTTTTCTCTTATATATGGCGACCGTTCTCTCGATTTGGTTAGTAGTTTCTTTCCTCTCTTGTTTCCTGACAAGCATTGGTGGTTTATATTATTGTAAATCATGTAACGTGGTGGATAGGTATGCAAAGATAAGGATGAAGCTGAGTTCTGGATCACAACCCTTCGCGCTCTTCTCTCACGAAACTGCTCTTCCGCATTGGTACTTCACTCAAGAAGCCGCAGCTTTGTTCCTGACTATGGAGAACAAAGTAGCTCCAACAACAATTCATTGTCGAACATCAGATCAGTCAGCAGTGATACAAGCTGCGAGGTCTTTTTTCTTTTTTTTTTACTTTCTTTCTTCAAGAGTTGTTACCTACTTAAATACCATCTCTCATCTGGTAAATTTTGCAGGAACATGCGAAAAAGGCTTCAGGAAACACTCCGCAGAGACTAGGGAAAGTTTTTTCCGAGGTGTTGTCACAAACTGCAGTACTTAGGGCACTCTCATTGGACGAACTGGTCCATAATAAACCTCATAATACATCTCCCGAGACTTTAGAGAATCGACCTACTACTAATCTCAACTCTCCTGCTGTTGATACAAGTAAATATACAGTTTCCAGCGCATTAAGCTCATCTAGTCAAGGATCTACTTTTGAGGACTTAAAGTCTCTCTGTGATGTCTTTGTCTGGGGAGAAAGTATAGGAGATGGGTTACTAGGAGGTGGTGGTATGCACAAAAGTGAAAGCAGCTCTTCCTTTACGGCTGATAACTTTCTGCCCAAAGTTCTGAAATCACACGTGGCACTTGACGCACAGAGCATTTCCTGTGGCACCAATTATGCAGTTCTGGTGACAAAGCAGGGACAAATGTACAGCTGGGGAGAAGAATCTGGTGGCAGGTTAGGACATGGAGTCTGTTCCTACATTCCACAGCCGAAACTCATTAATGAGTTTGATGGATCATCTGTGGAGTTGGCTGACTGTGGGGAATTTCACACTTGTGCTGTAACATCCTCAGGTGACTTATATACTTGGGGAGATGGAGCTCACAATGCTGGTCTCCTTGGGCTTGGTAGTGAAGCTAGCCATTGGAAACCAGTACGAATCCTCGGACAGATGGAGGGTATAAATGTCAAAATCATCTCTTGCGGACCTTGGCATACAGCTTTTGTGACATCAGAAGGTAAGTTGTATATATATGGTGATGGTACTTTTGGTGCGCTGGGACATGGAGATCGTGTTAGCACGAACTTACCGAGAGAAGTTGAGGCACTAAGCGGGTGCAGAACAATAAGGATATCATGTGGCGTTTGGCATTCAGCTGCTGTTGTCAGTGTTTTCGGAGAGGCGACGTCGTCATCGGGAAAGCTCTTCACGTGGGGTGATGGAGAGGATGGAAAACTCGGACATGGGGACAAAGAGTGTAGACTAATTCCATCTTGTGTAGCTGAGCTGGATGAGACTAGCTTTCAGCAAGTAGCTTGTGGCCAGAGCGTTACTGTTGCTCTCTCTGAGTCTGGGCAAGTTTATGCCATGGGAATCATTGATCCGAGTCAGGAAAATGTCGTGAAAGCTCCTTCTTGCATTGAAGGTGGTCTTGGAAAGAGTTCTGTCCAAGAAGTGGCGTGCGGGTTTCATCACATCGCGGTTTTGAACTCGAAAGCTGAGGTTTACACTTGGGGTAGAGGATCAAACGGACAGCTCGGGCATGGAGATAATGAGTATAGACGGATCCCAACTCTTGTGAGAGCATTGAAAGGTAAACAAGTGAGGAAAGTTGTGTGTGGTTCTAACTACACAGCTACCATTTGTCTTCACAAACCGATTACGGGTACGGATAGTTCCAAGTGTTCTGGTTGTCGCCATCCTTTTAACTACATGAGGAAGCTACACAACTGTTACAACTGTGGGAGTGTCTTCTGTAACGCGTGCACTAGTAAGAAGTCATTAGCAGCAGCCATGGCTCCCAAGACGAACAGGCCTTACCGTGTTTGCGATGACTGCTACATCAAACTCGAAGGAGTTAGAGAATATTTAGGAACTCCAGCCAACGGTGCCAGATTCTCAAACGCAAGTCTGCCGTCTAGCGTCAATGAGATGGACGACATTGGTACAACACCGCAGCGCCAGCTTCTTAGAGTCGACTCGTTTGATTTCTTCAGACAATCCAAGATCCCTGATCTTAAAACCATTGGTGAAACTTCAGGTTCGAGTAGTTTTAACCTGAAAGGGATACGTCAACTCTCGAGGCTCGCCTCCTTTGATTCTGTTAATCAAGAAGGTAAACAACGCAGTACCAAGCATTGCGCTTCGAAATCAGACACGTCCTCTCTTGTTAGACACTCGGTGACTTGTGGTCTACCGTTTTCACGTAGAGGTTCTGTTGAGGTGTTTCCTTTGTCGATAAAATCGAGCCCGGTTGAATCAGTTGGGAATACTTCGGACTTCACCACTGACATTACAGATACAGAGTTGCTGCAAGAAGGGACCAAGAAATCGAATCAGTGCCTCCACCAGGAGATATCAGTACTCAAAGCACAGGTCAGGTTATAGCCCAACCATTTAAACCGTGTTTAATCAAATGTTTAGTTATATAAATGACTATTTACTACTCTCAGGTGGAAGAGCTTACTCGGAAAACAAAACAGCTAGAAGTAGAACTTGCAACGACCTCGAAGAAGCTTGAAGTTGCAGTGTTAATGCAGAGTGATGATGCAGTGAAGATAAAAACTTCAGAAGAGATAGCCACGTCCCTTACTCTACAGGTACACACAAAATTAAAATTTCTACGACTTTGAAATATGATTCTTGAGCTCTAGTAGTAATGGAGGTTTCAATGCTTCTTCTTGTTCTTGTTGTAGTTGATGGACGCGACCAAGAAAGAAGTAGACAAGACAAGGAGGCGCCGAAGCTCGTTTTGATATTGACCTTTAACTAGAGAAGAAGAAAGCAAAGAAACTGGGGATGGAACCTGAATTAGATTGAATGTAGCATACGACAAGTTCGATAAAGCTCTTATCATATTAAAAATACCAAAAATAAATTAAAGTATAGTAATATTTACTTACAGACAACAACATAGAGTACACTTTTGTCCGAAACTGGCAAACACAGAGGAAAAAACAAGTTGGAACCTTTTGTTTGAGTTATAGTGAATAGATCAGCAGAAGCTTCTTATTTCACCGTCACCATCTCTTTCTCCCACAATTGTCCCATTTCTTCAAGCATATCGGAGCAAGTTTCACCTTCAGTCAACCAATTCCCTCCCTTCTTCTTTTTTCTCTCCTTCTCTGATACTGACTTGTTCAGTTGAAAACGTATCTAAATATGTTTATCTAATTAAATAAACAAACATATATTTTTTTAATATTAAGCATGTTATCAAAACAAATTCTTGTAATTACCCAAATCTACAAATCGCAAAATAAATCAAAAACACGGGAATGTATTAAGGTAGATGGGCTTCCAACCTAAAACCAATTGGTGATAAGTGGATTGGTCCATCTATCTTTTATACTACATAGAATTCCTTCCAACTTCCGATGTGGGACTTTGTCCCTAATACGCCCCCTCGAGATGATGGCTCTTTGGCATCAATCTCGGAATGTTCGGGCAAGGATCGATGGTCAATTTTTGGACCGGATCGATGGGCCAACTTTGGGCCGGATCGGATTGGACTACGTGGATCGTGGGCTCTGATACCATATTAAGGTAGATGGGCTTCCAACCTAAAACCAATTGGTAATAAGTGGATTGGTCCATCTATCTTTTATACTACATAGAATTCCTTCCAACTTCCGATGTGGGACTTTGTCCCTAATAGAATGTTAATCCCACCCCAACTTTATATATTACTAGGAACGGCCAGGATATACGTTATTATCTAAGTTTTTATTTTGTATGATTTTTATAGTTTGTATTTTCAATTTTCATTTTCAGAAAATGTGTATAATGATAATTTTTGTTTTCTTAAAAATTTTTAAGTGATAAGGGATATTTTATTCATTTCACTTAACGTTTGATGTTAGTTTATTTTTCTAACTTATTTTTGTTTCTTTATTTGTTGTCAAATATATTTTGTGACATTCTACTATTTTAGTCATTATTTGTTATTTTTATTATGTTTTGTAATTAAAACACAATTTTATATGGTCTTTACATTTTTATAACTAAAATTCTTTATTTTTTTTATGAAAGCATGCTTAGGCTAGATTGGTTGTTATTTTGGGTTATCTGGGTTAGTTGTTAGGTTGCGGGTAGAGGCCGCCAACTCACTGAGTGACATTAGTTTACTCATCCAACTCCGTTGTCCTTTTTATAGCTATCTTTAGATATAGATGACCGAGTTAGCATGGAGCTATACATTAGGACCACCGGAGTAGATAGTCTTGCTAAAGTTTATACGTTTATATTGACTATATCAAGAACTTATTGTTTTAAAATGAGAATCAAAACATCATAATAATTATCAATATTTAAATTAATTTATGACTGAATATTTTATATATTATTATATTTAAGGACTAAATAAACATATTTTCCCAATAACTTATTAGGTTTTCTAAAATAAATTCACTTATTACATTTAGAATATTTTTAATAATGGGTTCCTTATATATAATTATTTTATTGTGTGGTTAGAGAAAGTTACTGTATTTTATTAAATATTTTTATCTGATTTATTAGACTATCATTTATCAAAAATATAATTTATTTTGTACATATATATATCATGTTAAAACAATTTGTTTACTATATCTTTAGGTTAATATTGAATACTATTAATAAATCCTACAGCAAAAGTCTCTTGGACTCGAAAATTTATAACGTAAATGGCTGACCAATAACGGATTCCGCAGCTGCCACCGTTGGGCCCATCCTATTATCTGAAGAAACGGAAAATTCCAAATACTTCGTGCGGGATGTAACTCAATTTTGTTTTTTCTGGTTGCATAATGTTGTTGTTGTTGGGTAAGTTTAGGCAGTAATATTTTGTTGAAAATACTGTTAATAGAATGATTTTGATGCTATTTATGGTTTTTGTTAATCCTAAATGCCTTGTAGAGGGTAACCATGCTTTTGTGAAACCCTAACCAACGTTTTGTTGGTTATTAAATTTAGGGTTAAATTTGTTCAACTTGTGAAGCATTAGCTTCATAAAGTTATTTACTTGGCTAATTCGAATTACGTAAATGCATTACAGTAAAATACTATTAACTGTCGCCGAAAAAAAAAGAAAAATATGAGAATTGCTAACTACATTTTGAAAATGCACAGTTTGCAAATATGTTCCCAGCGAACACAACCAATTGATTTTATATGTAGAATTAAATAGAATGAAAAGTAATACTACACAAAAGATAAAGTACATAGAATACTTCTAAAAAATTCTTGACATTAGATTTGGCGGTGTGGGTTCTCAAGACCAACACATGAACGTCGGATCGTCCGGATAATAGCTACGACAACTTTATTTTGGCCAATAACTCTTCTATGAAGTATCTGGGTCTCGACACTGTAATGTGAGAAAGCAACTATGAACCTGAGGATGGCAAAGTGAACCAAAGAGCCATCTTCATCAATAAAGTCGATCACTTGTTGGGAAAAAACTGATTTGAGTAAATGCTACAATTTTTTCTAAAAATAAAATGTTGGCAAGAGGCTTTCTGACCTTAAAGCGTATTGGGGAGTTTTGATATAAGCCAAAACACATATGCTGACTCTCCTATTTGCCTACCAACCAAGTAGCTTATAATTTCCTGCTTTATGGTTTCAATTTTCTAATGCTTAAGGATGTTAGCGAGAGTATTGTACGGGTTTGTAGATTTTCAAGAGACGGTCAAACGTTGAGCATTAAACTAAGAAAGAGGGAAATACCTCTATCAAGCAAGCTTTCGAGTCCTCTTTCAAGTACCACATTCGGTTGTACATATTCATAAGCAGTGCACCAAATCTAACAAATAAAATATTAATCAGACCCAAATAATAAGTAATCTAGAGAAAATTAAGAGACATGTATTGCAATGTATTAGAGGAGACAAAAAATTACCTTCAAGAATAACAGATAAATCGTGAGCTACATACTTCCTACACAACTCCAAATGTCTGAATACTTCTATTTCACATCTGCTTGAATATTCTTTTAAAAGTTTGCAATCCAAGTTTTCAATTTGAGTTTTGGATCGCCTATAGTTTAATTTTACATAGTGGAACGCTGGACTATTTGATCATATATGAGAGTTGTAGAAAAGACACAATACACTTTTTTGCGTATATGGAAATAACAAAAATGCCAAAGAGTCATTTTTCTCGTCTACACACGTGAGATTCTTTCTCTTTTCCAAAGACTAATGACCAAACACTTACATACCATGGCTAATAATGGTTAAAATCCATGGTATATCAATGTCATCGAGGAATCGTCTGAAGACAGTGAACCAGAAGATTATACACAAAGGGGGGACGTATACGAACAAATATTTGAAACCATAGATGTTACAACAGTTTGAAAAGAAGGAAAATATACTTACTACTCAGTTTGTGGGATTGGAGGAAAAACCGTTCTCTCAATTAGGTGTGACTTAAGGTTCCAACAAGCAGGACCGTGAAAGGAAGATTATGCATAATCATGAAATGTCTGGATCTCCAAACGTTGTTGTAATGGAAACAAAACCCCTGACCCAGAAGCCTAAAAACAAACTCAGGTGCTCGCAACCCTAGTCAGAAAATATAGGTATTCACTTCGATCAGAAGTAGTGAAGAACGTGTCTGAAGAGATACACCTTTGTATCTACACCTTATTTAGTACCTTTTCGTTTCTCTGCGTAGCCACTCAACCTTTTTCAGGGTAACAAAATAGACATTCATGCATTTGAAAACAGGGAGACAGAGGACTCTGTTTAGAGTAACAATGGAGACAGCCCAAGATATGGACAGAGGCAAGAAAGATATGATACAACTGCCACCAATGAGGTTAACACAAGTTTATTTTATTATTATGTGTACTTGAAAGGTGTACATGGTCAGGTGTACGTAGTCTGGTATGTAGTGTACGGTATATATATAGGGCACGAGTGGACCCAATGTTGGTGAGGATGGATCAAACAACTTTGCAAACTCGCCAGAAAAGCCTATAGCTGAGGTCTTTGAAGGAACTGTGGTTATATATGGTCGTCCACAGTCATATGTGTCACCACATAAGGAGGTTAGTGGAAATGTTAATATTGAAAATTTCATAGACTCTGTGTCATATTTTAATATTGACAAGTTCATACGATTGGAAGTTTAAACATAATCATGTTTCACTTTTTCCAAACTGTCTTTAAACAACCATTCGTTATACCAGCTTCCTTTCAAATTTATTCCACACTTTTCCGAGGTGAACCAGAGGATGGCTCCTCAGTTGAAGAGGCCGGCAAAACAATTAGCCCAACCCTAAGTGATCCAAAACCTTTACCACCAATCATTGAAGAAGCCCTCTCTCCGGTTGAAGAAATTCCCCATCCGTTTGAGATCATTCAAGAAGTTCTCTCTCTGACTGAAAACATTAAAGAAGTTCTCCTCCCCCCAGCAGTTGGGGAGCAGGAAAGTGCAATCCCTGTTGTAGAGGAGAAGGAAATATCAACCCTTGTTGGATAGGAGCATGAAAACTCAACCCCTGTTTGAGAGGAGCAGGAAAGTGCAACCCCCATGACGGCACAAAATGATTCCACATCCCTGCTGAAAAATCAGGAAACTCCACTGCCTCCAACTGCTCCTATTGCAAAACCAGGAAAATCCATTGCCACCAACTGATCATGTCTATGACCATCGGTGTATACGTCGATTTCTTCATTACACATGATGTCTACAAAAAGCATGACACAAACACATTGGTCTCCATGTTTCGTGATGGCATGAAGGACGAGATCTGCAATGAGCTAAAACAAACAGAGTTCACCATGCTTGAGGAACTCATTGAAACCGCCCTAGAAGCTGAAGAATCGCTAGTCATTTCATCCAGAACCTCCACTGAACCAGACCCCAAACTTCGGGATATGTTTGCCTTCTTTGATACCAATGATGAGAAAGAAGAGAGTTATAATTCAGATTGGTTTAAGGCGGAACCGGAGGAGGACTGTGTTTTAGAGGATTTAACAGACAATACTATTTCATCGGGAGAGTTCAG